TAGTAGAGCCAGGGTTTCACCATGTTGGCCAGGCTGGTCTGAAACTCCTGACCTTGTGAACTGCTCGCCTCGGCCTCCCAACGTGCTGGGATTACAGGCGTGAGCCACCGTGCTTGGTGTTTACACCAGTGCAGATACAGAACAGACATCCTCTGGGTCCTGTGCACTGGGCACCTGTGAGGTTGACGGCTCCCAGGGAAGTTCCCAACAGCCGAACTACATGATTTCTATCAAGTTGGGGCATTACTGCCAAACTGCACTCCAGCCAGCAGCTGTGAGGCCTCCTCTTCTTCCTGAGCTGAATACTTAAAATCATTTGCCTGTTGGACAATTCACATTTCAACTTTGAAGTGTTCAGCCCTGGCACTGGCTCTCCTTGATTTCAAAACAAAAGGCTCACCCTCAGAAAGTAGAACCAGGATGACATGACACCTCATTCTCTGCAGCGGTGGACCAAGGGCTCCTAACCATGAGGCGAAGGTTGAACTGCTTTAGACAGATGCTCTGTTTGAAGTGGAAACATAAACATTGGGGCCCACCTGGAGGCCAGGTGGCCTTGGGCAAGTCAGCCCCTGCCTGGGCGGCAGTTCCCTCCTCTTGACATCTCTGGCCTAGATTCGGTGTGAAGGTCACATGACTGTGGCAGGTGTCCAGACGCCTCAGTTGCTCAGCTCTGGGCCCGCAGATGGGGCCATGGGACACCCTCGAAGGCAGTGCACACCCAAAGGCTCACCCTAGATCCACACCCCAGGCAAACGGGAAAGCAGCGGGCGGGCACAGTGGACAGGCCATATGTAGTGCTAGCAACACTAAGGAAGGACCAATGTGGACAGTGTACACTGGATGCAGTGAGTACAAGCTCTCAGGCTAGGCAGAAATGGATTGAGAAATTGGCGCTCTGCCGGTGAGACCACAGGCACCCCAGAGCAGATCTATTCACCGGGAGAGCAACACACATTCATCAGGTTGGACATGTTCGGGTCCCCTGCAGTACACCACAGCACCAGGGCACACGCAGCCGCATCCCTACACAGTGGTGCCAGCGCGGGATGCCTGCCAGCGCGTCTCCTCCTCTTCCTCCTCTTCATGCCAGGACCAGCCTAGCTCACCGGTGGACACGGGCCAGGCACAGCATCCCCACCTCACCAGCATGCTGCCTTGCACCACATCTAGGTGCCTTGACCTGACCGCTCATATCCTTCCAGTTATAATGAAGGAAATGTCTTCACTTTTCTCCTGTGCAGAAGAAAAAGCACACAGCCCCCATGGCTGTAACCTACCAGCAAGGTTTCACGGGGACCCCGGGCACCTCATGTTGGTGCCCAGTCCCTCAGCCTGGCCTCCCACACAACCTGCAGGGGCCAGCTGTGGCACCCTGTCCAACAGTTACTGTGGGAGGTGATTTCTTCATTGTAGCTGGACGAGGGCGACCCTCCGCCAACTCCTGGTGTTCTAGGCCTGGTGAGCATCTTCCTGAAGGGGGAGAGAGGATTCTCCTGACTCCACACCAGGTGGCAGCTCAGGAAGCACAGGGCGAGGCCACCTGGCATGGCCATGGTGAGGATGGCAGTGCACCACAAAATGCAGCCCTGCCAGGGCAGTAGGCGGCTCACTCAACCATCCACTCAGACAGGCTGCAACTGTTTATTCCGGAATCAGTTAGAGGATGGAAACCCAACTGTATACAGATTGAAAACAAAGCAAATACACAACTGAACACAATATATCCAGGTATCCACCAAGACAGGTGCACAGGCACAGCACGCAGAGTGAGATGAAGGCAACCCAGTGTGCACAGGCTTTGCAGCACGGGGGGTGGGGGGCCATCGCTCGAGTTCACCTAAACCCAGTGCTTCAGGACATCTCCAGCCACATCGACATCTTTTTTCCTGGGAGGAGTCCTAGGATGCAGCTGCACAGTTCTGTGAATTTTCAGGTGTCTGCCAGCTCCCTCACTGTTTGTGGTTAAACTGCTTTCTCTTTTAAAAAAATTTTTTTTGCCTGGCGCAGTGGCTCATGCCTGTAATCCCAGCACTTTGGGAGGCTGAGATGAGCGGATCACCTGAGGTCAGGAGTTCAAGACCAGCCTGGCCAACATGGCGAAACCCCATCTCTACTAAAAATACAAAAATTAGCCGAGTGTGGTGGTGCGTGCCCGTAATCCCAGCTATTACAGTGGGTGAGACAGGAGAACAGCATGAACTCACAGGCAGAGGTTGCAGTGAGCCGAGATGGCGCCACTGAACTCCAGCCTGGGCGACAGAATGAGACTCTGTCTCAAAA